TAGGCCTTTAGGGTGCACCACTACAAATAACTTCCCATAGATAGCAATGATAAATCCCCACACTTCACAAATATTTAAAAAAACTTACAACTCTCAATGGTGTTCAGGCTGCACAGAAAAAAAAATGATGTTCCACATGTCCTCTTTAATTTTCCTTTCAATTTTCGGGGGGTTGACCAATGAATTTTTGAGAAATTTTCACTAGAAGCAGACCACCCCTAAAATGAACAAAATGTCCCTGTCCAGAAAAGTAGCCATTTTGAAAAACCATCCCTCTGCAAAATGGCTCAAATAGTGCCACTTTCGGACCCGATTTCATCCAAATTGCTCAGAATTGAAAGCCCCGAGTCCGGCCCAGAGGTTCAGTCTCATATTTCTTCAATTCCATGGCTCTCAGGACCCTCTAATATAGAATATTTTGAGGGTATAACCTTTATTAATTAATAAGCTCGGCGGACATTATTTCTGGCTTAAATACAAGGGTTTACCCTTATGCGCCAAACGCTCATATGAGGAGCCCACATGCATGACATGCGGCGTGTTAGTCGCCCCATGCTATAGGCAGACGATGCAGGCGTTTCACAATAGTGCGCCTTCAAGAGTTTGCAACGCGTTGCCCAATCACAAAATGCGCGAAAAATGTCGACTCAATGCGTGTTCTGAAAGGGTCGACAGATTTCGCGCGTTCTGATCGGCCAACGCATAGCAAACTCGAGGAGGTGTACTATTGTAAATAGCCCAAATTATTGCTTGGTCAGGAAAAAGAAGAACAAAGACAAACAAAAAAATTTCCTATTTTCTTCATCGACACTGAACCCATACACCAATTCTTTCCGGAAGACCACATGGCAGCCTAGGCCTAGGCAATATACGCTGTGCCGAACTCAATTCAATTTTTAACGTTCGGTACGGCAACAGTACAGCGTTTAGCGCCATTCAGCTCGGCAAATTGAATTCGGCACGGCAAGCGATTTAATTCGAAAGGGTAAGCTGTGCTTTGTTCGATCCAAAATGGCAGTGGCACGACGTCAAGTCTTGTCCTTACTGAGTTGTGTTCTTGGAGTCAACCTCATTATTGCCAACATACGTTGTGGCCAAAACAGAGATGAATTTCTATTTCTCTATCCGCTCCGAGCGGAACAAAAGAGGGCGTGTTTTTTTTTAGTACTCACCATTGACATAATAACCTTGTTTGTGCACAAAATGCGCGGCCGAACAATGGCGGCGCTTCAGGAGGGTAATATGATGCTGTATGTTGAGCATTTCCGGTCAACATAACCTTTTTTCTCATAGGATGATGGCTAAGCCCTCGGCCTCCCTCCCGGTAACAAGCCAACAATAAACAGAAAATGCAAGAATATCATTTCCGGAAACAACTGACCATTAACTAGCCCACTCGAAAACGATAATTTTAACCTGTTTTTGTGTGTGTTTGTTTTTAATTTATTTTTATACACCTATTGTCTACGGTCTCACGTTAGAGATTTGAGAATTCCACCAGGACATGCAATATGTTTTGTCAGTAAATATTATGTCCAAACTGCCTATGTGTGTTTTTCCGTCCGGTTTCGATGAGCCAAGACTGAAAAAATTATCAATAAATTGATTTTAATTTACACACCCTCAGGAAAATTACTAAATAAAATTCATTCATATTGTGGCGCCGCGCCCCTCCGACGAAGGCGAGGGCGCCCTCCTCCTCGAGGCGCGGTGTGTCGGACGGCACGCCGGAGAGTCCCTGAGCGGCTAGGGACGAGTCCGTTGGGACCGAAGGATACCGTCCCCCA